ATACTGACATAAATGAACATTTGCACGATATTCTAATTTTTCGAGTTTCACCTGTAATAATAGTCTTTCTGGTGTAGCAGAAGCATTATCAAATCATGTGTTAATAGCATGCTTTTGAAAGGATTCTGTTTTGATCTGACATGTACTTATAAAATCAGTGGGGAAATGGGTAAAATCTTTGGAAGACACAGATGAGATAAATCTGATTTCTGAAATAGATGGCAGTATCTAGCCGGCTATAAAGTCTGCACTATTTGGGATTGCAGCAGGGAATCATATAGTATTTCCAAAGAAATCTGCTATATCTTGTAATGTCACAAGGCCTGTTCCCCTAAAACCATTATTAAAGATTTGAAGGCCGCAGAACATGACACAGTAATATACTGACGTCTTTATGTAAGACATGTTTTAGTAATACTTAATCATTTCCCTTATATTTATTAACTTGATTATAAATGTTAATGGGATGTATGAGCTTGGTTTTTGTTTCTGTGCCCTTGAGTCAGTGTTGACTCCTAGCAGCTGCCTGCTCTGTCTGCAGTTTTCTTGGCACGATTTTTGGAAGTGGTTTGCCACTGCCTGCTTCCTAGGGCTGAGAGAGAGTGACTGGCCCAAGGTCACCCAGCTGGCTTTGTGCCTAAGGCGGGAATAAAACTCACGGTCTCCCAGTTTCTAGCCTGATGTCTTAACCACTACACCAAACTGTCTCTCTATGAGGTTGTATATGACATCTTATTTCATCAGTGTCTGGAATGAAATTTGTTAAAGGAAGTCAGTGTAACCATCCATCTACTGTATTTTGACATTTGGTCTTAGTTCTGGTGAGTACTGAAAAACCACTTTTACCAAGGTATATTGTGCCTATTCATGTAAAAGCTCATATTTGTGACTTTTCTTCCAAACACCTTTGAGGACTGAAATTTGTTCAATTTCAATTTGACATTGGATGGGGGAGCTGCCAGAATTTCCCTGTGATTTATAGCTAGTGAATTTGAAAGGATCCAAGTCACAAAAATACTTCATTTGAATCTTCAAACTAGCTGACAAAGCACTTTTGTGTTGTTAGGGAACCACAGAATACCATGGGTGCATAGTTTAAGAAAACAGTGCTTTGAACTATGCTACCTACACCATTAAGTGAAGAGTATAGTCACAAAGCTGTAGGATTTAGCCAGATGGTGGTCATTAACTGCCCCAAAGAAAATTGCTGGAGAAATGGATCTACTGTGATAGTACGCTTAGCTTTGGAATGAGGCATTGAATATGGTGGTTTTATTGGTGTTATTAATATGTTGGTTCTCGTCCTGCTTGATTGTAATTGTAGTATTTGACTGTGTTTTATATTGCCATAGTTCCTTGGATGCTGGATATATATTTTTTGTTTCCAGTTGGAACGGTTTGGTTTATGTCAGATATCTCATTCATATTGTATATATAGAGTGATTATGTGCCATCAAGTCGTTTTTGACTCTTAGCAACCGCATATTTTTCCATGACAATCTATCCTTTATTTATTTATTTAGTGGATCGCTTCAAATAAATAAATTCATAGCTCTTGCTGTGTGGTATAATAACCAAGATACTTGTGTATAAAAGAATAGACTTCCTAATATAAATTTGTGTAGCTCTTTACACGTACCCTATTTTAGAAATGTAAAGTAGTCAATATAGCACCACCTTAATTTGTTGCAATTCACATGTCTGTTTAGACAAAAATTAAGGACTCAGGGCAGAAGAAACTAGCTAACTGTCATTTCAGGGCACTTCTGGCAGTTTGAGGTGACACTATTATAGGAATTTCTTTTAACCACTCAGGGTAAATGGGTAATTGTCTTTGGCAGTTATTATAAACATGCTATTTATAAACTATTATTGGGTAAAAAGTAATATTCAGTTTGCCAAAGCTCTTGAGCTCTCAATTTTTTTATTTTTATTTTTTCAAAAACACTGGACTGGAGTGTAGGTTTTTTGGGAATAGAGGAAAACATTTTGTTGTCATGAATTTGCCTTTGCAGAAGGATTATAATGCAAGTATATGAAATGCCTTGTTGTTTTTCTTTCATTTAGGAAATGATTTATCTGCCAGCTGTGTCAAGAAAGCATATATGAAAAATAAAAGTTGTAAAATTGAGAATTCTAATCTCCAAGAATCAAAAGAAAGTGGGGAAAGTGAAGACGAAAATAAGTTAGAAGATAATAGCGATCTGGAAGAGGAAAGTGATGTGGGAGATGATAGAGGAATAAGAAAGGGAAGCAGTTCAGAAGATGATGAAGAAGAATCAGTGAATGAAAGTCAAACAGATGGTGATGAAAGTGACAGCGGGCCAGATTTGGCAAGGGGGAAAGGTAATCTTGAAACCAGCTCCGAGGAGGAAGAGGAAGATGATTTGTCAGAGTTATTTCCCAGAGAGCCTGAAATTATACATGAGTGGGGGGAACTGGGGAAGGATGCCCCACAAGCAGATCAGGTAAGGTTAATGATAGCAATAAGTGATTTGTGATCCTTTAAATGTTGGGTTGAATCAACTCTGGGTAGTCAATGAACAGGGATGATGGATTATTCCAACAGCATTTGGAGGACTACTGGTTACTTGCTCTATTCAATGGATCTTAAAAGTTAGAACTATTTTAATGTTCTATTTCTATTCATATTCATATTTACTTTAAATGTAAAATCATGTGGAATTCAGAGATGTGTATTCCCAGGGAGCATCCCTAGAATGGTGGACTTAGTTACAAATTGTGGCCTTTAATAGTGCAATCCATGTACATGGATCCAGAAGAAAGCCCTGCTGAGCTTAGTTCCACTTCTTCCAGAGTAGTATATATGGCAAGGATTGGCGTTCTACAGGCTACCTGAGGCCCTGAGACCACCTTTAACTGCACTGCCAAATTGCAGAATATTGTTTCCAAAAATCAGCACTGTGGCTTCCTGCCATCTGGAGGTGGAAACTGTTTGTGTGTTCACATAGCATGCTAAACCATAAACCATGGTTGGAAGATCAGAATGGCTAAACTGAAAGCAAACAAGCCATGTGATCTCTTAGTGTACTGTGTAGAAGGCCATCAAATGTGATTTGGCCTTAGCTTAACTGCATGAAAAAAAACCATCGTGATTCAGTAAGTATGATTTATATTTTAGTTTTGTGTTGTTACATACCAATAACATGGGTATATGAATTCTATAATAGACATACATACATTTTTAAAAAGCCCTTGTGTATGCTGTATCCCCTCCACTTTGCCTAGCCTTCTGCCACTCCATGTCATTGCCCCACTTAATACAGCTTTTGACCCCTCCAAAGGCATTACCCACAACTTCCCTTGCACCTGAAAGGTTCCACATGCTTGGTGTACAGAATAGCAGTCCAAGTAGAAGTTACTCAAAGAGCTTCATATGTGAAATGTTTGGACATTAGCTTCATACTTTATAGTCCAATCTCTCAGCCTGTGTGATGTTTACAGCTGGTATTGACAACCTGCTACTTCTAGGTACCACTGCACTCATTCACCCAAACTAGGTTGAGGTGTCTACCAAGCAATTCCCTCTTTGGGTATATTAATGAAGCAATCTCTCCATTCATGCATGGAGGGAAACATCTGTAAATTGGGAAGAAGGGAAAGGAATCTTCCATTATGATCCCAAAGAACTTAGATAGAGAATAGGTATCATACTGTATCTCAAATCTTTTACAGCTATTTTATTCAGTCACTTATTAGGAGCAGGAAAAAAAATCCTCTGTCTTTATCCATTCTCTGTCCCTTTGTCTCTATGCTTTTGTGCATATTTGCTGCCATCTCTTTGTGTCCGCCTCCTCTCTGGACTTTGTGCAATTTGTGTTTGTTCCCTCTTTGAGTGCCATTTTTTTTTACTTTGCTATCTCTCTTGCTGTGTCTGTCCTCTGTATGTCTTTCCTGCCAGCCCATCTCTCCTTGTCTCATTTTCTCTCTGAAAAAGAGGAAGAAAGGGAATGTACTCCCAAATTTGTGTTACTGATTGTACTTCCACTAGAGCCAGTTCATAATTCCCTGCTTACAAAATAGTTGCATTCACAAAACTTTTATAAAATGCATTCAGAAGGTTGCCTGTCCTTGTCCTAGAGCTAAGAGGAATCAAAAAGCAAATTTGTTCTTTTAGTTCATTGATACAGGGAAAAATCCTAATGTCACCAGAAAAGATTTTCTTGAGTGTTTAAATAGACTACCCTTATATGTGCTGTCCTTGGTCACTGTTGTTTTAAGGAATGACTTCAACTGACTGAAGTGATCTATATATATTCAGTCATGGGCTTGGCTGAGAAAGCAGAGTTAAGTTCTGATTTGATGATTTCCATCTTCTACTCTTTTTCATGGCAAGAAGCTTTGTAGCTTTCCAATTAAACTGTGGTTCTCCCTGCTATATACAAATCTAAATTCACAGCTGAACTTTTGCATGAATGATAGGCTCAGCCATAATGTTTCAGTGTACCTCTATTGTCCTATTACAAAATACTTTTCTTTGATACAGATTACACACAGACTGGCAGTTTGTAACATGGATTGGGATCGATTGAAAGCAAAGGACCTACTGGCTTTACTTAACTCATTTACACCCAAAGGCGGTGTTATTTTTTCTGTAAAGGTAAGCACTTGCAATAAATACTTGTACAGATCATCAGCAACCAGTGAAATAAAGGTCTTGTTGTTATTTTGGTTATGAGCCTGGCAGGACTTTTGAAGACAGCACTTTCCTCTTTCCCTTTAACTGGAGCTCTGGCAAGACTGCTGCAGTACTTTGATCAGAGAGGGAAAGAGATTGATTGATTGATTATGTGCCATCAAGTTAGTGTCAACTCTTAGCAACCACATACTGTAGATCATGATCTCCATGATCATCTTTTCGTAACCTGGACTTTCAGATCTTCAAACGGTGCACTCATCGCCACTGTAACTGAGTCCATCCACCTTGCTGCTGGTCATCCTCTTCTCTGTCCTTCCACCGTTCCCAACATTAGAGCCTTCTCTAGAGAGCTGGGTCTTTGCATAATGTGTCCAAAGTAGGCCAATTTGAGCCCAGTCATTTGTGCTCAAGGGAGAACTCTGGATCAATTTGTTTGATGATCCATTTGTTTGTTTTCTTGGCTGTCCACAGTATTCTCAGGAGTCTTCTCCAACAGAAAGAGTGATTACTTGTATATTTTCTAAAGATTTTTTTTTAACAAGGATCAGTACTGAGTCTTAGACCACATTTTGGGAAACACTTGTCTAGATTTAGAAAAAGGTAGGCAAATGAAAAATATCCAGAGTGGATATTTAATCCTTAGAGATGAATGTTATATGAAGTTAAACTTCAGAAATATTTTGTCTGTGTCTGTGTATTCATTCAGATTCAGAATATGTATTTTCATTTTTTTTTAACTGGACAGTGGTGGTGTAAGAGTCTAACTAGCATTTCTGCCAACGTATTCATACCCTTCTTCTGAATCACTTGAAAGCACCTAGTTAGCTGAAGTTCTGTTATTTATGAGTGTCTGTGTGTGTGTGTATATAGGCAGGCTCTGGCCATGATTGATTGTGGCACGTTGGCCTAAAAAGGATTCCTTCCCACAGTCAGTATAAAATGCAACTGTAAAGGAATGCAAATTACTTTATACTTAAAAAATTGTAATTTGGTTGAGATCATTTCTCAGTTCTGCTTTGAAGGAAGGATTCTTAAATGGAGTATAATTGTAAATCCTGATGATACAATAGATGCTAGAACTCATTTCTTATGAAAAACAAAGCTGTTTTTAGAAGGAGAACAGTGAAAATACTTATATTCAAAAGTTTATTGCTTTTAAAATGATGTGTTTTTAAAATGATATGCCATTTACTGCCATCCATTTTCAAGTATTTGGCAAGTACAAACGAGGCTTTTTCTGTAAAGATAAGATAGAATAAAAATAAAAATGGAGACTTCCTTTTTTGTTTAGTTTTTCATAGCTTTAGTGATAGTCTACATTTTATGTAAATATCACATGTGAACTTCCTTTTATAATCCTGGTAGTTTGATTGCATAGAAAATATAAGAAGCTACCATCCCACTTCCAACTTACATGATATAATTGGTGTGTATCTTCTTTTTTTTTTTTTTACTTCTTTTTAGATTTACCCTTCAGAGTTTGGAAAACAGAGAATGAAAGAGGAGGAACTGAAAGGCCCTACAGAACTATTAAGCCTTCCTCAAAATGTCACAGAAAAAGACAGGTATTTCATGTTTGTTGAACTTCTGATGATTCTCTGCATGCTTTATTCTTTACCAATGGGCATAAAATTTATCTGCCAGTCTCCATTGCAAAGCTGGGAACAGCATTAAATATGCCTACCCTTTTCTTTATGCATTAAGTGTCTCCGTACCTATTACATATAAGTCACAGTGAGCAGTCCATAAGGGTTGGATCCAGGGTTGTGGATCCAGCATTGCTGTGTAATGCTAAACTGTGAGATTATGGGTTGTGGGCTTTTCTTTCTTTCTTTTTAATATTCCCTATTTCTTTGGAATAGGACTTTGGAAAATTCTTTGAACTTTAGAAAATTCTGGGGAACATATTTTAAACTGATTAGTATTCAAGACATTCATTTTAATTGTGACTCCTGAGCAAATGTAGTAGTAATGGAATAAGAAGAAAGGTTACCTTACTGCTAAAGAACAGAAGGCAGAGAGTAGCAATAATTGATTGGAATAACCTGCCTATAAAAATAAGTCCATCATTTGCTTTTTTTAAAAAGCTTTAAAAAAGGGTGAGTGGGGGGAGGCCTATGCTAGTTGTCCAGTGAATATGAATGGTGAAGAATTTGGAATAGATAAAAGGAAATACTTTTGAACATAGTGCATAGTTGCATAGAATTTGCTTCCAGTAGATATAATGTCCAACTTGGTTAGCTTTAAAAGTGTTCAGATGAATTCATTGTGAAATCAGGCTACCAATGCCAATAATCATTATCCTGGTGCCTGGAGGTTGTGAGAGTCTGGATAGGGAACAACAGGCTTCAGCTGAACCCTGGCAAGACCGAGTGGCTTCAGGTTTTGGGGCGTTCCAGTGCTAGGACTATACTATCTTTGGTGCTGGGTGTGGTTGCACTGCCCCAGACAGACCCAGTGCACAATCTGGGGGTCCTCCTGGACTCATGACTCCCACTCAAAGAGCAGGTAGCAATCGTGGCTAAGAGGGCCTTTGCACAGCTTCATGTTATGCACCAGTTGCTCCCATTCCTGGGTTGGGGGGCTCTGCTCACAGTTACTCATGCTCTGGTCACCTCTTGTTTGGACTTCTATAATGCACTGTATATGGGGATGCCCTTGAAGAATATCTGGAAGCTTCAGCTGGTACAAAATGCAGCAGCATGGCCAGTTATATGTGGCCCTAGAAGGGTACACATTACACCTCTGCTCCATGAGCTTCATTGGTTGCCAGTTTGTTTCCAGGGCCAATTCAAGGTGCTGGTTTTGACCTTTAAAGCTCTTCATAACATAGGACCGGGTTATCTGAGGGACTGCCTCTCCCCGATTACATCTGTCCATCTCATCAGATCTGGCAGAGAAGGCATGCTGAGGGTCCCATCTGTCAGGGAATTACATTTGGCAGGTCCCAAGAGGGGGGCCTTTCTCCCTTGGTGCCCGCCTTGTGGAATCTCCTCCCCCATGAAGTGAAGTTAGCTCCATCCCTCTTAATATTCTGCAAGTCCCTCAAGACCTGGCTGTGTGATCAGGCCTGGGGGTCCCAGGAGACCGGGAAGATTTTGTGATGGCTTCCTTACTGTGGTTAACATCATTCTCTCTTGTTCCGTGTGTTTTTTATAGTTTTTATAGTTTTAATAGTGACTGTTTTATATGTATTTATTGGTTTTCTTTTTAATTGAGCATTGTACGCCACCCAGAGTCACTTTTTTCTGAGATGGGCAGCTAAACAAATATGGTTGGTAGGTAGGTAGGTAGGTAGGTAGGTAGGTAGGTAGGTAGATAGATAGATAGATAGATAGATAGATAGATAGATAGATAGATAGGATTATTTATTACATTCAGCACTGGTAGCAGCATACCTCTCAGTGTTAGTTGCTGGGAAACTTGAGTGAGAGGGTGCAGTTGTTGATGTGGTCCTGCTTATGGGCTTCCCAAGACACCTGGCTGGTTGCTATACTTATGTTCCTAAAGTATCAGTAATATTCCTGGTCCTGGTCACCATAAGAGTCTGGGTCTTATATTTGGAAACGCAACTGGATTTTTACATGTTCTCAAATTAGAGTTAAACAACCTACAGTATCTTTAATTAGAATATAAAAGGAGTTGTCTTTTGTTTATTTTAGTGACAAGTCAAAGTTTCCAATTTATTTTTGGAAGGAAGGGAGGGAGGGTAGTGAGAAAGGAGCATACTGTACTTCACTAACTTAGACTTACAGGTACGTTAGACCTATCTGCAAGAGTTGACATACAAGACTCTACTCCCATTGTTTTTCCTCATATTAGATCATTAAATGTAAATTTAACATATAAAAGCATGTACTAAAAACATTATTTGTCTGTGTAGTGTAATGAATGCGTGTTTCTAAAAAAAGTGCACCTATCACAGAGTTAGGAGCAGCTCAAGTTCTTTTTTTCCTTTTAATTTTTATTTAAAACAAAAATGTATTTTCAAGAATGATGTTACTTACAAATAGACAATTACTGAAGTTATACAATTAATGTTCAATATAGCATTAAAAAAAGACACCAGACTACATTGAGTTGTTTTCATTATAAAAAAAGTATAAATTTTTAGCTCAATGCCACATCTCCACTATGTTGTTATTTATAAATGTTGAACCACAAAGCACCCCTATAAATAATAGAGGTAAATATTTAATTTCTGACTTCCCCCTTCTTTATACTCCAACTGATTTGCAGTACCTATTGGTATAGACTTTAGAATCCATATTCTAAGTGCTTGTACTTACCATGTTGCATAATATATAATGTATATGGAAACCATTCTTGTTTAAATTTAGTTAAACTTCTGTTATGTATATATACTGTTAGTTTTGCCTTTGCTGCATATACTCCAAGTTTAAGTTCCCAATCAGATATTGTCGGTACTATGTCTTTTTTCCAAACTTTCCAAAATTTGTCCTCATAGCCATAAACATGTATCTTAATAAATTGTGGTATGTTTTGTTCTCTTAATGTATCCTTGAGGTTGTAGTTACAAGTTGGGTGCTTCTCATTGTCTGAAATAACTCTGGAATTTGTATAATGTGTTTTACCACTAGATGGAATCTTTCTCCTTCAGTATGTAGATCTCACTAGTTATTGGTATACGCATATGTGAATGCCTATTCATAGTTCAGTAATAAAATTGAAAAGGTATGTGTGGAAAGGGGGAGTTTGGTTATTTTATTTCTTCATTGCTACTCTTACTATACATTCTAAGTTCTAAGTTTATTATATGCATCAGATGATATCAATGGTAGCCACTGTTCAGAGGACTTTCCATTTTCAGTTTGTATGCCCCTTATTTGTTGAAGTATACAGGTGGTCCTCAACTTACAACCATTTGTTCAGTAACCGTTCGAAGTTACGGCGGCACTGAACAATGGAATTTATGACCAGTCCCCGAAATTGTGGCTGTTGCAGCACTCTCACAGTCAGGTGATCAAAATTCAGGCACTTGGCAGCCCACCCGCACTTACGACAGCAGGGGCGCTTCAACTCCCCCCACCCACCTGTCTCCCCCCCCCCATTATGCCTTTTGGACCCCTCCCCCCCTGCGCTCTGTCGCCCCAGCTGACCTTTGCTGCCACCTTGCTCCCACTGCTGACAAGTGTGCCCCTGGCCCTTTGCGAGGCAGCTGCTGTCCATGTGAGGCTTTCTTCCCCAGGTCATGCATGGCAGTTTCCTCATGAGACCTGGGGAAGATGGCCTCACGTGGCCAGTAGCTGCCTTGCAAAGAGCCAGACTGGGTGCACCTCATCAACAGTGGGAGCAAGAAGACAGTGGAGCTCAAGGCGGCAGGAGCCTTGGAGGGCAGGGTGGTGAGGGCGACTTTGTGCTACACTGCTGAAGCTGGGCTTTAGGCTGTGCTGTGGCTCAGGGGCTAAGCTTCACACAAAGGGGCTTTTTGGCATGCTGTGGCTCTGGGGCTGCAAAAAGCAAAGCCCAGCCCTGGCCTGGCACAGCAGCCAGGTCGGGAACACCTCATGAGCAGGAGGAGCAAGAAGACAGCAAAGGTCAGCTGGGGTGGTGGAGCGCAGGGTGGCAGGGGTCTTGGAGTGCAGGCTGGCGAGGGTGACTGTGGCTGGGACTGGGCAGGGGTCCTGGGCCATGGGAAGCAGCCCCAGAGCCATGTGGTTCTGGGGCTGCTTGCCACTCCGCAAGGCAGGGTGCATGATGGCCAGAAGGGCAGAGACGGGGGGGAGATAAGCAGGTGGGGGGAGTCAGAGGCAGTCTCTTACCTTACTGAAGCTTGGGGCTGGGAGGGATCAAGCCTGGAATGACTTGAATTGGGGTGGGTCCTCAGCTAATGACCAGTGGAATTCACTTAATGACTGCAACGGGGAGTGCCAAGATTGCCATCGCTAAGTGATGTGATTATGTGACATCTCACTTTATGACTGCATTGCTTAGCAATGGAAATTCTGGTCCCAATTGTGGTCGTAAGTTGAGGACTACCTGTAATGAACAAAAAGAGTGCTGTATTCATAACATTAATATGTATTTGGATTTTGTCAGGAAAAGTTTTGTGATGTTAAATATTGTAACATTTAAGTATCTCAAAATAGAGGTATAATTGGCTAACACTGCTAAAGCAGCAGCAAAAGCTTTCTTTTGAAGAGCAGTATATACTTTTCTAAAATAAAAATAAATTTGCTTTTGACTTTTTTTTTTTAATGGAAGGCAAATGTAGTAAAACTAGTGCTACATCTTGCTAATTTTTTAAAAAGCCTCTTTCAGCCCTAATTTTGTTAGAACCTTAGCTGGCTGATAAATTTTATCCATTCTTGTACAGGTATGCTGTGCATTGGTATTGTACCATTATGTAGAAAACAAGGATCTATAACCTGTGGCTGAGAGTCAAAGAGGGTTGTTAATAGTTCAGAGTGTTTAGTGTAACGCTGAACTTGTATCTCTCAGACAGCAGCTGCTTTTGAAAATGAGGGACTTTTTAAAAGGTATGGCCTAGGGAACTGCTGTTCAAAGCAGAAATGTGAAAACAAAAACAAATTCCTTTGGGGGACTGTAAGTTGCAGATAAATTGACTCTTTATATCCCGAACTACAAACAGGACTACCAAACAGATGCATGGTATTTAAGGTATAAAAATCTTCCAAATTCTTCTCTTATCCCTGCAAATACCAAGAGGAAAAGGAGTATCCATTATCATAGTGCTTTAATCCTAGCAAATGCTTTCCCCTTTTAAGTTGGAAATCAGCCAACGGTGTATTCCTTCTCAGTGCCTCCTTTTCTCTAACGTTACTTTTCTCATTCCTTGTAGCCTTTATAAGGAGAAATTGAGAGACTATCAATTCAAACGAATGAGGTATTTCTATGCAGTAGTTGACTGTGACTCCCCTGAAACAGCCAACAAAATATATGAAGAGTGTGATGGATTGGAATTTGAAAGCAGCTATTCTTTTGTGGACTTGAGGTAACACATATTAGTTTTTAATAGTTAGTCTGGTTTGACAAACTTCTAATTATCTTTCTCCTTAACAAGCAAGGGGAACATGAAAGTTTGCTTTCATGACTTTGAATGTAACCTGGGTTCCCTGGTAAAGAAAAATATTTAATTTCCCCATGTTCTCTTGATGGTGTTCTGACCAAACTGAGTTTGACCCATGTATCTCAAATCCATATAAAACACTAAAAAGCTATGGAAAGGGATGGTTAAGGAAATTTGTGTTTGCCTGTTGATATGATCCACACCTTCTGGATTAATGTATGAATGGGAAAGTAGTTGCCTACCTTCTTTTTGTACTTTCTGAGTGTTCCAGTGAGTTTTCAGCTTCTAAACAGAGAGAAGATACATTTTAGGAATTGATATTCAGTGAAACAGGATCCTTTAAAAAACGAAATACAGAAATAGGATGAGATGTGTGGAAATGCAACCACAGTGCAGACCCCATTGCTGATCTCTAGGTTTAGGCTATCTTTCCCATATCAGACTGATTCTGTGATTCATGTCTTTATTCTTCCATCCCCTCTTGCTGGTCCCTTTCAATTGAAATTGCCTGGGATTTAACCTGGAATCTTCTATACAGAAAATATTTCCTCTGTCACTGAACTAGAGTTCTCCCCTCTCTGCTGGGGGAAAAAAAAACTGGAATATGGCAAGTGGTCAGGATTGTCCTCCAGATTATATATTTTTAGCTTTGATTATAGGATCAGTATCATTTTTCAGTTCCTGCCCTGAGCAAAGAGTTAACACTTTCATTGTGTCACTCCTCCTTCTCTTATCTAGAGCCTGAACAACTGGTTTTTTCACAGCTAATTTGAAAGATGCTAGGCCTATCAATTTTGTCCCTTTGAGGCATTGCAATAGCTGTTTTAATAATGAGCTATTTTCTTCTGGCTCCTAAGATTTATTCCAGATGATGTGACATTTGATGATGAGCCAAAGGACGTGGCCTCTGAAGTGGATGGGGCTGCTTATAAACCAAAGTACTTCACATCCGCTGCTGTGGCAACATCAAAGGTACCTTAACAATGTTTTTATAGCCATTCAGAATTTGTTTGGTTTTGTGTGTTTAATTTGTAAATTACGTAAATTTAGCAGTGGTCACAGTGTAGATAGAAGGGGGAAACTATCCATATGTATTGATGCAATATAAATATTCTTGCAAAATAGGCTGCTTTCTCTGCTCTTCTTGGAGAGGATAATAGTACTTGTATAACAAAATAATAGGGCAGCAGTTTGTTATAATTCTGATTTAATGAAGATGTCATGGGAGCTTTACATTGCTTGTTTGTTTGTTTGTTTGTGTGTGTGTGTGATTTTTTAACGACTGCTTTTGAAAGTAGAGTAAGAAAATCTGGAAAGCACAGGTGGCCCTTGTGATTCTAAGGGGGTTCCATTCTACTGTAACAAACCACAAAGAACAATAACTTTATTATGTCTATATCTATATCTATATCTATATCTATATCTATATCTATATCTATATCTATATCTATATCTATATCTA